AACTTTGTTAGAGACAATATATTAATTGACATTAAGTTTGATGTTATAAAAATTTAACGGTTAGATAACCATATTTTTTTCAACAATATCAATAAATTCAAGTTGAAAGATCCATCAAATTTGCTTACGTCCCTAGAAATTGAATTAATCTATACAACAACATAAACCGAAATATGACATTTCGTGGCTCGACCTGTCTAATGGTTAGACTGTTTTACTCAAGAATTTGTAATTATTAACTAAAGGGTGTGAATTACAAACGAAAATGAAGTACAAACCTTATTCCAACCACCACTTTGAAGTCCTCTTCCAATGATCTATTGATATACTTTTGAAAATCAAAATTAGCTTGGCTTTGCGGTGCAAGGTGAGCCTGATCAGATCAAATGAAACAAATAAAATTAATTCAATGGATTAAATATTTTTCTAAATCATGTTATTTTTTTATGCCGATTTTGCTATTCCGTATATAAATCTCTAGTTAAAATTAAAAGCAAGTAAAATTATAGTACACAATAATTTATTTACCATGATAAATCCATGGCGTAGAGTCAAATAATCGACTCTGGGAACGGATCTAACGAATTGCCTAAAGAAACAAACTNTGGAATAATTACTTTCTATCAGAAAATATTGCACTTTGGCAAAATCAGGTCATTGTCACAAATGAATTGATTAACGTGGAGAATTAAAAGTCAAAGGGTTTTAAATTATGAGGTAACATTCTAACACAACATTGAATTAAGGCGAAATAGGTGCAAGGCACAAATCAATTAGAATGCTACATATAACATTAACATGTGTATGATGAAGACCCATTCCCAAAATAAATTATAGATATATAAATATATATTCAAATTGTATTTATTTTTAGATACGTATTTAAGTAAGTCTTAAAATTTTACATTATTCAAATTATTTACTTTGCTGCTATAGCCTATTGACCCAATCCTATTTGCAAAAACAGTCAACAATTTTGGCCTCTTGTGAAAGTCAAACACAATTGTAACGCCAGGAAAATTGGACGTGAAGCGTCGTGTTATTTGTAAATCTAATCATATGTGCTTATACCATACTATCTAAGTCAAACATTTTGAAAATAGTAGTGTTCAATTATTTCATAACCAAATGATAATATTGATATAATGTTCACGTGGACGACACCAAAACTGCAATTTTACCCTATTGCCCAATATCTAAGTTTAATTACAAAAATAACACAAATTCTTGTGTGACTTGGTTTAATCATTAGTTGAGTTGAACAATCGTATTTTTAAAGCAAAAATGTATATTTATATTATGAAATAACAATATTTTGTTAATTTTGTTTAAGAGACTGCATATCTATTAAAAAAATATTTGTCTAACTGTTAAATCTGTATAACATCAATTTTGCAAAATCGAAGATTAAAAATCATGTAGCCTTCATTTTTTAGATTTGATTGCAAATTATTCCAAATGCCTATTAGTATGCCTTTTATGTGTAAGGATTGGCAACAATTTATATTAATCACTAGTTTCTAATAACTTTAGTTAATTCTATAAATCTATGCATATTTATGTTGGAATTTAGGAACTCACAATCCATATTAGAACAGGAGTTTTGCTCCAAAAGTTCAAGTGCCTTCTCCCGAACGACGTTTCCCTTGCAAACCTAAACCTCTCAGGATCTGCCACGTACACCAATTCAATTTTTATTATCACATGTAAAATCACATTATGAATCAATTAGTATAACAATTATCAATATGGCCTAAATTGCTATGTAATTAACTTCAATAGTGAAATGATAAAGTGATTGATTAACATAATTTTAAATAAATTGCATCAGAAAATAAACTGTCCCACATACCGTTTGAAAACTGGTACTCAGTTGTTCTTGTTTCCTTTTCCCATGATTTCCAACTTCTCATCTAAAACAAAACCAAAGAATTATACACATAATCATATGTATTTATGACTGATTTGTGTATTAGGTTGCATCTAATCCTAATAATCTTCTAAAGTTAATTACACGGTTGAAATTTGGGTCTTCTCCTCTTTGAATTTGAAATCCAGTTTGATCATTGACCAATCTTTTTACTTTATTCATAGAAAAAGAAAAAAAAAAAAAAAAATTTACTTCATTCTTAGAAACTGTAAGAATTCCTCTCTTTGTTGGACCTTAAATCTCCAATTACAATTTCATATTAAATTTTGTAATTATGTGCTGGCAGATTGATTGGTTTTTCAACATACACTTTTGTGAGAACACTAACTGATTGATCAACTGCTATATTAAAGGAAAAGTTTCAAACATAGTCGCGTATTTTGGGTGCATCTAAAGTATTCACTGAAATTGAAATAATCAATAATAACCAATTTGAGAATTTTTTGGTTGAATATCCGAATTCAGGTCATAAATTGATATTAACATGTACCAGTATCCCATTGATCAATTTTAAAATTACAATCCTACTATTGAATATC